CATTCTGTGACAAAATTTTCTAATGTCTATCTAAAATGAAAAAAGTCACACACAAAAAAATTTAGAATCTAAATTTATTCCAAAAAATATCATTTATTCTGAGATTACTTCCTTTTGTGTATCAAAATATCCTTTATGAAATGATAAAAGCAGATAACAGAGGTTATTTCATTTTCTTTATTCAGCAAAATTAGAAACTGTAATCCTTTGTCAGTCCTCAAACCCAGTCCTTTCCCTTGCTTTTTCCTATAGATACATATTATTTGTACTGGGACACAAAATATAAAAACTCAGGTCTCACTGCACTAGCCTCCTCTGCCCACTGGTTATTGCTGCTATTTATACCTTGACAATCTCTAGTAAATATTTTCTTCGATGTCTCTTATAATGTATTGAATATCAAAAAAAAAAGTAATTGATAATAGCTGAAATTAAGACACTATAGCCGTCTCTCAGTATTCATAGGGTAGTGGTTCCTGGACCTTCCTCAGATACATAAATCCTTGGATGCTGCAGTTTCTAATAGAAAATGGTACGATATTTGTATACAATCTATAACACATCCTCCTGTATGCTTTAAATCATCTCTTATTACTTACCCTACCTAAGACAATGTAAGTGCTATGTAAAGAGCTATTATACTAAAGAGCTATTATACTATTGTTTAGGGAATGACAAGCAAAAAAAGACTGTACATGTCCAATATAGATGCAAGTTTTCCTAATATTTTTGATCTGCTGTTGGCTGAATGCATGGGTACAAAATCTACCGATAAGAGAGCCTATGCTACTTTGAAAAACTGCTTAAGAAATAAGAAACTTTGGTCAGGTGTAGGGGCTCCCTCCTATAATCCTAGCACTCTGGGAGGTCAAGGCAGGAGGATTACTTGAGCTCGGGAGTTTGAGACCAGCCTAAGCAAGAGTGAGACCCCATCTCTACCAAAATAGAAAAAATTAGACAAGTGCCTATAGTATCAGCTATTAGGGAGTCTAAGGCAGGAGCATTGCTTGAGCCCAGGAGTTTGAGGTTGCAGTTAGCTAAGATGACAACATCGCACTCTTGGGGCAGGGGAGGAAGGAGAACAGAACAAGACTGTCTCAAAGGAAAAAAAGAAAAAAAAAAGGCAAAGAAACCACCTTTCACTCTGTAACAGACATAAATATTCATGTTGTAACACAAACAGACAAGATCAATATGTAAATAATGTAAATACAGCCTATATCTCATTAGTGTATTCATCTGAATATGAGATTATCAGATCCTTTGCCAAAATTAAAATATAAATTCATGAAACTTTTTGAATTGTGTCCTAAAAAGGATATGTAGAAGTCCTAACCCCTAGCATCTATGAATAGGACTTACTTAGAAATATTTAGGTATCTGTAGACGTAATTGGTTAAGATGAGATCATTCTGGATTAGGGTCCCCCACATCTAATGTCTGGTGTCCAAAAAGGACACATAAAGATATAAAGACACACACTGGAGAACGTCATGTGAAGAAAGAGGCAGAGATGAGAGCAGCGGTTCTCAACCTGTAGGTCGCAACCCACAGGAACTGTATTAAAGGGCCACAGCATTAGGAAGGTTGAGAACCACTGGATTAGAGTGCCGCGACTACAAACAAAAAGGCACTTCCCAAAAGCTAGGAGGAGCCAAGGAAGGAATCTTTTCAGATTTATCTTCAGAGAGAGCATGGCCTTACAACACCTTGATTTCAGACTTCCAGCCTCTAGAACTGTGTGGGAATGAATATCTTTTGCTTTAAACCCTCTGAGTTTATGGCTGTTTGTTATAGCAGCCCCAGGATACTAACGGGCCATTAATAAAAATAAGAAGATAAAACAAGTATTATTTATGACTGTACTTCAGAAATAAAAAGTAAAACCACAACTATCTGTAGTTTTTAATTACTTGATTATACTGCATTAGAATACTTTTTAATAAAAAATTTAAGATGCCCTAGCTTTATTTTACAAACACTAGGTATCTAATTCATTTTACTTTAAAATTTGAACCTTTTATAAAAGCTAAATGTTATGGTTTAAAAGTTGTTTACCCTTACATAATTCAAACAAATCTAACAGCTTTCTAGTTGACAAAAAGGTTTATTTTGGAAGTCAAGTAAGACAACATATGTGTGAGTTCATGGTTAGAAAAATCTTATTATCTAGGAACACACCAGTTGTGTGACAAATTTGAAAAGATCTTTAA